GGAAGCCTATTTACACGCACAACGTACTCCTGCATCGAAGCCAGCTCTTTCTATCTGTTCATATTTCGAAGACGACGAGAAAGAATCACCTGCTTTGAAATCAATGAGCGGTTATAAATCCTATTCGCACTGACACGATAGAAGCAGCAATGCAATGATGCGCACATGAATCAAATAAACGCCTGAACGCGCAGGCCTATTCAGCTGATGAGAGCGCAGACAGCTTCAGCTTACAACAAACAATTTCACTGAAGGAATGACATGAGACTCGGCCGCTTAATATAACGTGTCTTTTATAAACACCCTTCTTCTTAGCAAGTGTTAAAGATTCACTCACTGAGCAAGTATACGGACTGATATTTTAATAAACTAAACAATATATATATATATATATATATATATATATATATATATATATATATATATATAGTGATAGAAGTAGGAGGATTTGAGATAATTATAATTAAGTAATTCATTGAGTCTGGAATTACTTAATTATAATTATCTCAAATCCTCCTAATTTTTACAACTTATATATCCTTGCTTGAACCGGCTTCTAATGCTCTGGATGGAGCGAGTGGTGGTAGTAGCCGTGGCTCGTGGGGGCACAGTCCTATGGGTAAAAGAGAAACTCGGATGAGTTCCATCACGGAATATGTGATCGAGCGGCGCTATATCGATTCTGATTCGCTACCTCTTCGTCACGGAGGCGCGTTGGGGTAGTTGGTATGACGTTTGCCTGATAACGTAACTGTCTGGTTTTTAATTCTCGGTAGTGGATGCACACTGCTGATGAGTCCCGAATATAGAAAGAAACAAACGTCTAATGCTTTCTGCATTCTGTTAAGGTTCCTTCCAGACTCGTTGAATTACTTAATTATCATTATATATATATATATATATATATATATATATATATATATATATATATATATATATATATATATCTACGACGAAATTATTCGGGCACCCATCAATTTTGAATATAGTTATTCATTTCTCAGAATTTAATGTCCGTATGATGCCATGTTTTATGTGTTAATAAACATAAAAAAAGGAATATAAAACAATTTTCAGAACAATAGGTTAAATACATCAAATTTGACAGGCGAATTATGCAAAATAGAAAAGGGCAAAATTATTTGTACAGTATGTAAAATAAAAAAAAATACAAATTTTCACAATAGTAAAGTTAATAACATGGCCTCACATCTTTATAACCTGCTGCAATCGTTTTCTAAATTTTTTATTAGATTTGAAGTCTTTTTGGGGATTTTCTCCCATTCTTCAATTGCTACACATTCTAATTCCTGAAGTGTTTTTGGTGATCGACGATTCATTCGAACTTTCAAGTTGATTTTATGCTGAAACAATCTCTTAATATACAATTAAACTTCATCTTTTCTAAATATACAAGCGATTGAGGCAAAAATCGCGTACTATAGGGGTTAATGGATAGGTCGAAGATGTTTAATGGCCACCTAGGTCACTAGACCTCAAACCTTTTGATTTTTTTTCTATGGGGGCGATTTGAAATCAGCATATTGAGAAATATTGAGAAAGTAAGAATTAAATATGGATGCAGTAAAATGGCAGTGGAAATTCTCCAGCGTGTTTATGAATTCTGCAGTCATAGAATTGAAATGCATTTTGAACAAGAAAGACATTTTGAAGATTTGGTTGTTTGGTTGTTTTGTTTTATGGCATATCAAAACCTCAGTGGGTCATTTAATGCCAACAAAAATTTTGAAATAGATTCATAGCGATAGTTTGGTAAAAAAAAAGGTGTGTATGTATATATATATATATATATATATATATATATATATATATATATATATATATTACATTTTGAAGAGAACATATAACAATTAAATAATTAGTAAATAAAATATTAATGTGTAATTATACGTTTAATAAAATATTCTGATGGTACGTGATTTTTGCCTCACCCTGTATATCAGGGAATGTGATGGTAAGACAATTGCTTTCTTTATTTGTCCTAAATTTTTCTTGTCTTTTTCTAATATTTAAAAATTGAGTAAATAGATATAAACCGAAACGTAAAAACAAATTGCAAAATCCCAATGTTTTTTTTTCACGTCATCTTAATTGATTACTACTTTATCTGTTGTTTGGTTTAATAAATGGTTGATTCCTTCATTCACTTTTTACGGTTTATCAACTCTTTGCATGATATTTAAAGCCAGAATTTTTTTTTTAGATTGTAAGATTTTTTTAGATTAAATGGAACAAATCTTATAGATGGGAGATAAAAGATGGATTCATGCATTTCCCAAGTATTTACGTTAAATAAATATAACGAACCCGACTGGAATTGGAACTCAGCTCTCCGAGTCGTAATCCATTACACCAACCGTACATCGAAGATTACAGCACCTGGTATTCCCAAGCAGTCTCCCATCTAGGTAATGACCAAGATAGACTTTGCTTAACTTCGGTGATCGTACGGGAACCGATGATTCCAACTGATGTAGCTGTAAGCCTTTAAAATAAATTACTTTCTTCTATCTGCTCTGCTCTAAAGCCGCTTGAGAGATGAATTTGCCACATTCTTCCTCATCTGTCATCTTCCGAAGACACTTCATTATGAGGCCACATGTTGATATGAACGGGGCACAGTTGTTTCTGTTTCCTTAGACAATCACACGGAGAATTGAAGGGTAGCACAGGTGCATTAGATGGTCAGAGATCAGGGTCTAAAGATCAGTTGAAGTCCATCCTCAAGTAATATACCTTAATGCTAAGTCTACCGCTCTACCATTCACCAAAGTGCAGGATTTTTCGTGTCAGCCTATACTGTGGTCAGAAATCTGCACCGAACGGGCAGACATGAGTGAGAGGCACAAGAATTTATTTTCATGCCTAGTTTGATGAAAAAGTTTGCACTTCCGAGTTTGGCTTGAGAAGTCATATGAGGAGTCATTAATGACAACGTGTATGACAAAGTGTTTCATGCCAAAGATGACGAAATGGAGACGTTATCGTTGATAACTACGGACAACCGCTGATTAAATGTCAGACGATTGATGGTTGTAATTAAATGAACTCTTTCCACCTTCGGACTGACCAATGATACGACTTTTTCAAAATCTTAACATTCGTGTGCTTCTGGAGTTCGAGACATCGCAAAGTGATTGAAAAGCAAGCTTGAATAATTTTAATTTATGGTACTTCACTGCTTTCTGTCTGTTGTTGCTCTTAAAATTACTTGCACCTTTAAAACCAATGTTCCACTTTGTTGCATATGATTCTAGCTCATTTGTTTAGACTTGGTATGCACACCCTTGTTCAAATTAATTGAAACGAAAAGAATAATCCCGTTATTATTTACTTTTTTACGTATTTTTCCAATGAAACATGACCCAGTGCACATATTGGTACTTCATATGCCCATTCCAAGAAGTCGTTCCTTGCAGATTGACCGCAGATTCTCGATTGGATTTAAATCAAGAGATTTTCCGGGACAGTCTATAGTACTTTCATTTGCTCACTGGTAAGGTTTGCCAGTGCGTTCGTTCGGCGTTATAATTTTCGTACGCTTCATTGGAGTAACGTCGATCGCAGACAATAGCCGTAGGACAACTAATCGACAGTCGAGTCAATAGTGTTTGGCCCTGATGAAAATCTGATGCAATCACGGATGAGGCAATATTTTTCAAGGGCAAACAAATTTCATCATAAACCCTTAAAATAGATACATATTACTGCACACCAAATGGCCTAATCAGAGGAAAAAATAGAAATCGATTACACCCTGTCACTCCAGAGAGTCTAATACTGACCGTATGGCGAAAAAAAAAGTGGTTGCTTCAATTCACTTGCACAAGGTTGTATGTTTCTAGTGGCTTTCCTCAGTTTCTTCCTACCAACGATGCTATGTGTGTTTTATGTTCTCCAAACCTTCTTTCCTCATCTTGCGTCACTCTTATTACCGTGGTTGTTTGTGATGGGTATAAAAGTCTCTTAGCCGCTCTTATTCTTCTGAAACCCTTATTTCTCGCATACTTTGTCCATGGTATTCTCAACATTCGTGGAATGACTTGCGTCTCGGACACCTCAAGTCTTTTGTCATTTGTCATGAAATTGTCCTGCATCTTCTGCAAAAAAAGGAGGCGAGGTATTACATGATAGTCTGGCATTTTTAGACTCACCTAATGTTAATGTCAAATGGCGAAGAATATATCTTTATCACGTTATCTATGATAGCTGGTAACGTAGAAGAAAGCCGTTTACTAAATCAGCCAACAGATAAAATAGTGGACCAATTAAAAACTGTTGATATCTTGACTAGTTTCCGAAAATCATCGTTCGCCTTATATACCCTTGTGCCAATTAATTGAAACAAAAATCTTAGTTTCCTTTTTTTTTTTTTTTCACCATTCAGTAAGTTTTAGACCCACTGGAGTGACAGGATGTAATCGAATTCTATTTTTCCCACAGATTAGGTCATTTGCACTGCTGTGAATATGAATCTATTTTCGGGGTGTATGATGAAATTTGTTTGGCCTTGAAAAATATAGCGTCATCTGTGATTCCATTAGATTTTTATCACGCCCAGACACTATTGTCTTGACTGTCTATTAGTTGTCCAACGGCCATTGTCAGCGATGGACGTTACTCCAAGGAAGCATACGAAAATTGTAATGCTGCACGAACACAATGGCAAGCCTTATCAGCGAGCAAATCAAAGTATTATTGACTGGCTCGGAAACTCTCCTCATTTAAATCCAATCGGGATTCAATTTGCAAGGAACGACTTTATGGAATGGACATATGAAGTACTAACATGCGCATTGGGTCATATTTCATTGGATAAATACGAAAATGTATATAATAACGGAATTATTTGTTTTGTTTCAATTAATTTGCACATGGGTGTATATATCATATATAAAATGTTAATGGTCGGAGCTGAATCAGATCAGGAAACAGTAGTATTAAAAGTTGATCAATACACATGTGAAAATAATAAAATAAAAAATTACATGCAGAGCTTTTAACTTTATCTCCTGATTTGTAAATATATATATATATATATATATATATATATATATATATATATATATATATATATATATATATTATTATTATTATTATTACGAGATTTTAATAAAATCATGATTGCTTGGAAGGTAGAAGAAAGCCGTTTATTAAACCAAGCAACAGATAAAATAGTGAGCAATCTTTCGCCTTATATATTTCATCTGTTATCTTAAACGCCAAATATATGGCAAATAATGTTCTCTATATATGTGTATTTCCGTATTAAACAGTTAGCCGTTACAAGGTTGCCGATAATTGAATGACAATGATGTATCTTTGACATATTCTGTCATTGAACTGACAACGGCCTTTTACACATTGAAATGTTCAGTGTCTTCATTTTCCTTCCTAGGCATCGTTTTATTTTTAATTTCTATTGTGTGATTGTGGCCATTACTAGGTAAAATACAAGAGTTGTTTATTTCTGAGGTTGACCGCGTGTAACTAAGGCCGCAATCATCTAAACCGCGGATAGGTGAATCTATTCGAAATTCCGGATCTTCATTTTACAATCCAAGGAAAAGCCCGAAACTACGACGAGGATTCTTCTGGTGTCGCGCGCATTTCAGCAAGGTCTTGTGTTAAAGTTATTAATCATTTACGAAGTTTGGTGTGACACCCAATGAGGATCAACCTCTCTAGTGTAGTAATGGTCTGTTAAACAGGCACTGCGAGGAATCTATAATGCACATGTTTCCGAATATCTCCAATCATTTGTATATACAGAATTTCTCCCTCTCTCTCTCTCTCTCTCTCTCACTGTCTCTCGCTCTTTCTCTCTCTCTCTCTCTCACTTTCACTCTCTTACACTCTCTCTCTATTTCTCTTTCTTTCTCTCCCTTACTTTCTCACTCTCTCTCTCTCACTTTCTCTCTCACACTCTCTCTCGCTCTCCCTCTCTTTCACTCTCTTTCTCTCTCTCTTTCTCTCACTCTCGCTTTCTCTCACTCTCTCTTTCTCTCTTTTTCTTTCTCCTTTTCAGTCTCACTCTCTCGCTTCTCGCCTGTAGAACGTCATTACAACCTTATTGCTGTCCTCTCCAGTACAATTTTCAAAAACTGAAATCCAACATCAATCTTCGTTTCTTTTCTCTTTGAATCTTGTTCTTTTATGGCCATCTCTCTTCTCTTTTTCTTTCACACTTATTAACCTCTTGCATCTTAGTGGCTTTATCGCCTCGCTTGTGGGTGGGATGTGACTACGGAAATAATTGTTTTTTTACAACCCCTCTTCCTAGTTGTTCTTGCTTTCACTTGTGTTTCTCTCTCCTCCGTAAATATCAGATTCACCAAGCTTTCTTTCTACATTATATACACAGTTTTTTTTAGCATCAGGTAATTTTAGCAGTGCCTGATCATATTTAGCAAATACTAAATTTAGAGCCTCATGCCATGCTTGGAATTTGAGAAAAGTGAAATTTTACCTTGCTTTTTACTTAAAATATTTTCCAGTTTTGGACTAGTCTGAACTTTGTCAGTCTTATAAGCTTTATACTAATAAAACAAAATATTAGTCAAGGCAGTACTAGTCAACTTTGATCTTCAATAATTTAAATACAATAGTTATCTTTAGTCTTTTTAATTCCTATTCTTTTATTGTTCTCTCCTAAGTAATGTTTTTTTTTCTTTTTCTCTTATTATTTCACACTCAGTAACCCCTTGCGTCTTGCTCGGGGTTAGAGAGTGTTACTTAATTTAAAAAAAATGAACTGACCAACCTTACCAGAATTCACTTAGTTATACTGATTGATATTTTTTATTCTATATAAGATACTGGGGTGGGGGAGAAGCTAACAACTCCATCCCATAAAACTCACTTGCAACAGTAACCATGGAAGCAGCAACTAGAATGATGATGTTGTGACACTATATTCTACAACAGGGGTTCTCAACCGGGGTCCATAAGCCTTTGCTCTGGGATAAAACTTACGTTATTGCTTTTCCAACATCTTGTTGAATCGGGATTTAGTCATGTTTCTCAACTATTATCAAAAGTTCGCACTAGACTTGACATTGTGAAAAGAGGTGATCTTCGACCATCATTAACATCGATGGAACTAGATATAAAGAAACACGCTGAGCAGTATCAACCACAGGGATCTCGTTGAATAAATATGACTTACTTTTTTTTTTAATTACACACTTAAATTGGTTTATTAAAATTTTTAAATAGTGTGCCTAAATAAATTCTGCAGTGAATTCAATTGCCTGTAGAGCTCTGCTGCCCATGGGCTTAACCAAAGAAGAAACATTGTAATAATTTAATACAAGATATTGGTCAATGAAAATTGTTATTACTATAATACTTATTATTAATATTATTATTGTACAATAATTTATTTGCATTAAATTAGTTTTCATTTAAAAATAAAGCTTAATTATATAATATTTCTTTGATTATTAAAACCTCAAAATTTTTATTAGTCAAAAATAG